AAACAAGTTTTTTTCTGCCTAAATCAGTCGAATGTTTGATTTTCTGAAAATCACTCTATGGTTATAGTTGTACAAAATGTACACCTGTCTGTTTCACTTGAAGGTATATTAATAGTGAACATGTTTTATTTATTTTCATAAGAACAACTTAAAACTTACTTTTTAATGTTTTTTAATTCATTTTCTATTTAGCTGTATGTATTTCCAGTTGTTTCTCAGTTCAGTTCAGTTTATGTGGATAATAAAGGGATAAAGATTTTGTTAACAGTCTGTGAAATCACGTGAGGCTTTTGGTCACATGATTTCTAAGAAATGCAGCAGTACAGAGTAGATGTTGCTTCTTTTACACAGTCCTTTCTGCCTGCTCAGCTTTGCAGACAAACGGGAAAGCAAAAAGGGAGGTAGGATTGATTCTTTTATGTACTGGAACAGATATTGGAATTTATTTAAGAGAAAAGGATTAAAGATAGAAAGAATATAAAAGAGTATGTTGTATCCCTTTTTTGTAAGGTGCAAAAAATACAAGCACATACACATATTATATGGCGCTGTGTTAATGTTAAAACTGCTTTATGTGCTGAGGTTTTTGCAATCTCAAACTGTATGCTGCTAGAGATAAAGTATGAAATATTTTTTTTCCTCCCCTCACCTATTGCGATCCCTTTCTTTTGTTTATCTAACTGCAAGAGCATGCCTTGTTACAGCAGCAAGGCCTTGGACACCACATCCCCACATGTATAATGTCTGGTATTGTCTTTCTGTGCATTTTTGTCTTTTTAGATGAGCTGTGTTGAAAATTTTACTTTGGGTATTAATAAAGTACAATTGGAAGTGAAATTATGCGGGAATCAGAGGAACCTGTCTGCATTATATGACATTACATTCACAATAACAACACACAGGTTTCCGAAAGTTCTGCCTAAAGACTTTACTGGGGAAAGAAATAAGATTTTCCTTATTCTGAGGACCCGTTTTGTTGAATGTATAAGTTACAGCTAAATAGGAAATCACTGGTCAATCTTCTTAAGAGGAAATGTGGGTTTTAAAGCCACCATGGAATCGTTTTCTAATTAAAAGTTTATTGTGGATGATCTTTAAGTTCCAAGGGGATCATATGGTTTTCACATATGCCAATCTTAGATATTTGCTCTCTGGCTGTAAATATGCTCAATAATTTTTTATGTAGCCAGTTAGCTTGGGTTGCAGCTCAACCGCTCTCACCGTATTAACTAGCATTTAAAGAAGTATAAACAGGCAGAGAGTTCCCACAGTGTGCTAAAAAAGCAATGGGAACGGTGCTGTGACGCTGTCACAAAATGCTTTTTTTTTCACACACTATAGCGAGTATAATTTGTCAAAACCTATGCAAATGACATTAGAAAACATGAGAAAAAAAACCTGCTAAAAATAAATAGTTTGTCGGTTCATTTTATCCCATGAGGTCCAAAAGGCGCCATCTAGCTTCTAAATTATTCTAAATTATTGCCTACCCCTCATCCTTACAATGTTTAACACATCATTATTAAGTAATGAATACAGAACCCGTTTCTATTAGGAATATCACTACAAGGGAAGTAGGGTAGTCAGTGCTTATTGTTTAAAAGGATACAGGACTGAAAAACTTAAATAATTAAATAATAAAACAATAGAAACACATAAAAGTCAAAATGTGCCGAAGTCTGTTTCCATTGAGACTATGATTTAGAACAGGGGCATCATAAATAACTGCACAGCACTGTTAATGAAAATGTTTTCAATTTATAAAAGGAAAAGCTACGTTTACACACCCTGTTTTATAGCTCTTTATAGCTTTATGGCTCTGCATTTAGAAACGCGTTCCTTGTTTCAAACTGTGATTTAGTATGCATCCATATAAGGACACTTTCAGGTAACTTAATACATAAGCAGTATAAGGGTGTGACTGTTATGGCTCAGCTCAGGGTGACTGTCCAATCTGCCTATCAGCATTTTATAGAAAAGCTCCCATTGTATGAAGGGGTATTTAGATCGATCTCGATCTAGCAGAGAGACAAATTCTTTCTTAGTACCCCTCTATTACACTTAACTATCTAAACCAGATAATAAGATACTGATTATCATCTATCAGCAAGTCAGCAGGATCTTTGAACTTCTGAACCTTAAACCATGATTTCTAAATGAGCAGAGAGTCCTAATCTTTAGATACTTTTCTGAAAATGTTATTTGAAATTCAGCTGTCATTTATGGGAAACACTGTTCATGTAGATGTCTGTTTAAAAGTGATGCAGGTTTTCTAAACTTTTAAAATGCTCTATGATCCTTACAGATTTCCGATTTAAAGACCAACATGGCAGGGTGAGTACAAATACATCATTGAACCAATTTATCCCATAGTATATTGCTGAATGCCTGGTTATAATGTTTGTTTTTTAAGCAGTGATTACAGTGATTAGCATAGTTGTTGCATGGATATAACCGCAGCACGATAAACATTTGACAGCTCCCCCCAGGCTTTTAGCTCCTTCAGGAGAAGAGATGGCATAGGGGGTGAAGCTGAAGCTCCCTCCAAACAAATATACATCTCTAATACGTTTACATACTGTACATAGGAAAAAAGGCCAGATAGTCAATCTCATTTTATTTCTTAAATTATGACAACTAAAAGATAATGTCAAGGTTAGGTTTGGTTTGGAGGACCCAAACGCAGAGGCAGAGAGGCTGAGAAGATTTCTAGGAGTTTTAATGGGGCAAAAACAGAGGCAGGAATTCAAAAATCCAACTAATAATGAAAAGCAAACCACAACTATGGAGACATCTGGGGAAACCAAACACGAGGAGCCAGGGAGAGACGAGGTAGGTGGACAACAGTACAGGAGGAAAGCAAAGACAAGGAACCAACAAAGAGTGAGAGCAGAGGGAGAGCAAATATAGCTGACAGAGACAAAGGGAGGGCTAACGAGCTGGCAAGGAGCAGGTGTGAGAGGAGACAACGAGGGAGCCAAGGGGAAAGAAACACACACACACACACACACACACACACACACACACACACACACACACAAGAGGGCAACAGAGGACAACAGAAAAACATGAGAACTAACATAAATCGAGAAACTAGAACAAAAAAGGAATTAAACCAATAAAACTAGGAAACATAGAGCAAAGTAAAGAACAATAGAAACAAGACCATGACAGATAAGGAAAATATATTTTAAATTGAGGCTAATCAAAGTTTAGATTTCCCATTAAGACTCACAAGATTTTAACCCTGAGACAGTGTGATTTAAACTTATTAATCTCTCTTCATCCTCTTACATGGGAGCTGGCTCGGAGCTTGTCTGTCTGGTTGTGTGTTTTTTACAGTTGCCTTTTGTATCTCTGCTTCTGTCTCCTTAAATTCAAATTCTTGTGAAAAAACAAGATGAGAGAAAACTGAATTGGAAAAAAAAAAAAAAAAAAAGAAGAGTAGACAAACTGAAAATATCAGTGATGTGATTTAATGATTGTTTAACTATAAACACATTTTTATGATTTCAAGTAGTGATACTGATTATTAGCAAAAAATAAATAATGTATGAACATTTGATTTCAGCCTACAATCTTACCATCTTCTCTGCTTTCACAGAAATAGAGAAAGTTCATTTGATTTTGAGGACATCATCTTCAAAAGTGATCTAGTTCGTACTGGGCCTCCTGATGTCTTTTGGCTGAAAACAAATAAAGAAAAGATTGGAACTCTGAACAAATTCATTGCTGGAGAAAGAGACAATACCAAACCAAATAAAACTTTTTTGCTTGTTGGTGAAGCAGGAGCTGGAAAATCTAATCTTGTCAACTCTTTATTTAACTATGCAGTGGGAGTAAAGTTTAAGGATGAAATCTGGTTTCAGATAGTTGAGGAAAAAAAGGACAAAAGCCAGGCATCAGATGTGATCGTCTATCAAATATGTGGTTTCAAAGATCAGTCTCTGCCATTCTCTGTGACTGTCGTTTATACTCCTGGATATAGACACGGTCAACGGTTTGATCATAACATCCACATCACACAACAATTATTGGAGTTATTCCAAGGTGATGATGGAATCCATGAAGTCCATGCAGTAGGGCTGGTCCTTAAGGAGGGTAGTGATTCAGTGAGTGACCAACTGATGTTCATCTATGAATTTATTTTTTCTCTGTTTGGAAAAGAGGTGAAGAAAAACATTGTTGCTGTCCTGACAAACTCAAATGGAAAACAACCTAAAAAGATTCTTCAGGATCTTGAAGCTGCAAACATCAAATGTGCCAAAAATGAGAAGAATCAAACAGTTTATTTCCAGTTTGATAACTGCCAGGATGAAGAAAGAACAGAAGAATCCGAATTAGCCATAGAAAATGCTTGGAGAATAACTGAAAGGGGGATGAAACAGCTCACAGCCTTTTTGGAAAAATCGTCACCCCAGAAGGTCGTGCTGGAAGTACAGAAAGAGCAGATCAGACTGACGGCCTGCATCCAGAACCTGCAAGAGAGAATCAAGTTCTCAGAGTTGAAACTGAGAGATTTAAAAATGACTCAAGAGGCTCTTCGTAACAATAAACAGAAGATAAGTAATAAGAAGTTAAATGTTTTGATTCCTGAGGCCTACAGAGGAATGAAGCCGCTTACCGATAAGAGATGTGGTTTTGAAACAGCTGTCTGTTGCTTTGTCTGTCAGGAGAACTGTCACTATCCTGGATGCCAAAAGGAGTTAAAACCTGAACAGTGTGAGGTGATGATGAATGGAGACTGCACTTCATGTACCAACAAGTGTCCTGCATTCAACCATAAGAAAGATAACCAGCGATTTGTGATCAGGACCCAGAAGCTTCAAAAAAATGAAGAAGCATTAAAACAACAGTATGAAAACAAACAGGGAGCAGGAGAAAAGAAGGGGGAGCTTTCAGCATTACTTGAAACTAAAAAAAAAGAACTGAACACAGAGCAAAAACAATTAATAAAGGATGCATATTGGCTTTTTCTTAAACTTTATGTCTTTGCCAAGAATCATGATGAGTCACTGTCTGTTTATGTGATCCTGGAATTCCTTATCAAGAAGATGAAGGGACAAAAGGATGAAGAAAAGCTGCTGGAACTGGACTCAATATACAGCAGAATGGACGAGGGAACCAGAATAGCATTACAAGACAGGTACACTTACTTTCAAAATCTAATTTATTCTCTTTTAAACTGTGCTGTGATGTTCGTAAAAATCATTTTGAGTTTGAAACCGTTGCTATTTCACTTCATAGAGATTTACCATCTATTCCTCTTATGTTTTTTTTCTGAAGAAATTAGAAAAATAGGTCATACACATTCTTAATAGTTTTTCTAATAAAATGAATGGTAGCCGGTGCACGCCGATGACGTCATACACACTCCGCTTTGTTTTTAGAAAATATAAATATATGAAATATAACCGCGGATGTATGTGGGACTGTGATTCACCTACATGTTATGAATGCTGGCGTACTATAAAGAATAAATTATTAACAGTTTAGCTTGTGCCTTCAACTCGTTGGCCATAGCAAGACGTTACTGGATATCACAAAACCAAATATCTTCAGAACGGCTCCAAATGACACAAAACTCATATGGGTGAGTAGAACATGATGTAATAACGTAAAATCAAGGGCCGAATGTAAAAGAAACAGTGTTCCCCTTTAAGGTCGTTGTTGGCCAGTAAATTTACCCAAAACTGGCCCATGCCAATGTAATGGGGAGTCGATAGTTTCGTTACTGGCATGGCTTAACAGGCACGATGTTTTGACCAACTGCATGGTGATGAGATTTTTGGTGATAGTGGGAAGGAATCAACTTTAAAGGCTGATTAATATTTTGAAACTAGGCCCTCTCCATAGGTTTCACAGTGAACAAAAAGACGTCCCTGCCCCCTCCGCAGACTCTCTGCTGCACCTCTCCCAAATTGTATGTGACCACAGACAGGAGGCTAACTTGTTTTGTTTTTATGACCGAAATTGCGGAAAACAACTCGTGAAGTTGGACCAGCTACAAGAACGAGGTTCTCGAGAACGCTGGGACCCTTTTTCTACCTGGATTCACGCTCTTTTTCGCCGTCATGTCCCTTCACTGTCGGACAAACTCGCCCCCACTTCCTCAGCGCCTCGGCCATATCTAGACCCACAGCATATAGTGCAGACCACGCTTTATACTAGGCATAAATCTAAAATGTCTGCATCAAGCTCACTGCGACACACTGCTGCAGGAGTATAACCAAGCCATATCGCTGTGCTATAGGTTTTTGAGAGCTGAAACCTGAGTTCTCCCGCCCTGTTTAAGGTTGTTTTTTCTCTCTTAACATAAATTGCTTCTTTGTCCAAAATGTGAAAATTCTGGTCCTCAAATGAGTGTCGTTTGTCCTTAAGGTGTAGGTGGAGAGCAGAGTCTTGTCTAGAGGAGGTAGCTCTTCTGTGTCTTCTGTGTTTGTCCACAATTCCCAAGCAATCATCAAGTAGCAAATGTATTAATGTGGTAATCATTGCCCCATGGTAAAATTAAATTTGAAATGACATACCTACCTACCTAAAGCAAACTTCTCATCTTTCGTGGCTTTGTCCGTGGCGTGCTGGTCATGTATTCTCCTCATGATACTTAGCCTCACAGATAGTTTGTAAGATAGGTCACCTGTGGCAGCTTGAAGAACAAGCTCGAGCCCATTATCTTCAACCAGCTAAGAGCGGCAGCTGGTGGCTATCCATTGAGAAAGATTTGTTAGCTTGACTGATAGAGCTGTGCTGACTAGCTTGCCTCGAATGCACTCAAACATTGCAGTTTGACCAACATAACTCTTCCCCTGCACTACCTCGGTGCTTGGCCTGGCCAGCATCTTCAGCATTGGCTAAGGCAAAGAATTTAGGTGGTACTTGAGACTGGAAGAACTTCTATAGTAAACAAATTCCACAGCCTTAGTCTTGTCGAGGTTTCCATTGGGAAGCTCCTTTAAAATAAACTTTCCCTGATGCACACGTGGTGGCTTTATAGCTGCATCCATGTTGGCATGTCACATTCAATGTGGTAATTTCACAGTAGGCTTACACAGGTTTCGAAGACTGATTCGTTCTCACCTCTAGATATACATCTATGCTAAGATATCAAGGTGAAAGTCATCAAAACTTATTTAGTATAGACCTAGCTCCTAAAGAATAGATTAACAGCTATATTTTTTTATCGCCCAATATGAGTCTGGCGTTAAAGCAGCACGTTTACGCCGATGATGGCCTACCACTATTTTTTTTATCAGAACCCTTGCTGTACTGTTTTGGATCAGACTTGGACTTCCTGAAAGATTTACAAAAACCCACTTGTTACATTGTGAGGAATTTAGCTGCAAAAAAGAAAAAAGAAGACATTTTATATGCACAGAAAAGTTATATCTAAGGCAATAAGATGCACATATAAAATAGTATTGCCAGATGAACAGAATAGCACAGATAGCATAGATACAATAACCCAGTATGAAAAAGAGTTAATGTCCATGTAGTGACTAGTTTTGTGTTTATGAATATGTCGATATGTTGTTTGGAGTTTAACAGTCTTATGACATGTTGAATTAAGCATTTGTGGATTCTAGTTTTTCAATTGAAGCTCCTTAACCTCATACCAGAGAGCAGCTGTAAAAACAGCCCATGACATTAATGACAGGCTCTTTTATTTAGGTGACCCCATTTTTTCTCTAGTCCCTCTTGTGTCTTGCTTCAGGTGATTATTCAGCTAGCACACAAACAAATTCACAGTTAAGGGTCTCTTGGAAACTTGTGCTGCTGAAAACTAGAGACCAGATGCTAGCATCTCATTTAAAGCTTCATCCCCACATTAACTATAAGGGTCTGAATAAGATTAGTGCAAAACAGAAGATCACCTCCTTTCTCAGGAGCTTTCTCTAAACTGGATATGTGCTGAACCTAAAATCTAGTTCTTATCAGGGAAAGGGACAAGTGGAAGATGGTGTTTATTATTCAAGTATTTTGTCATGCTGTTTAGATTGTGCAACAGTCCTACCTCTTTTCAACATTTTTCATTTTACGTCCTTCAGGAGATGCTTGGTTAGTTGGTCTTTGTTTAAGAAGGGTATCCTGCTATGGATGTGGAATCTGAGGACCAGGCTGTCCAAATGTGGAGCAGCATCTGCTCAGCTAAAGCACATGTACTTTTTTATGTGAAATATGACTGATAAAGTATCATTAATTTCAGTTTACATGTCTATTGTTTGTGTATTGTTTAAGTTCACATGTCTATTCTATTCTGCAGAATGAGGATGAACTCATCTTATCAGGAGGCTTTAATCTCAGAAAGTGTTCAAATCCATCAAGGACCTCCTTATGTCTACCAGCTAATACCAAAGACGGGGAGGATTGGAACTCTGACCAGACTGACATTTGGAAGCAAAGATCATAACAAAATTAATAAAACCATCTTATTAGTTGGTGAAACAGGAGCAGGAAAGTCCACAATGATCAATGCTCTGTTCAACTATGCTGTAGGGGTTAGGTTTGAGGATGAAGTTTGGTTTCAGCTTGTAGAAGAGGAGGAAAGAAGTCAGACATCAGATGTGGTCGTCTATCAGATCTTTGGTTTTGAGGACCAAACTCTGCCATTCTCTCTGACTATCATCGACACTCCTGGGTATGGAGATGATCAATCGCTTGATCATGGTATTAAGATCTACCAACAAATATTGGAGTTATTCCAATCAGATGAAGGAATTGATGAAGTTCACGCAGTAGGTTTAGTAATAAAGGATGAGGGGAATCCAGTCAGTGACCAACTGAAGAACATCTATGATTTCATTTTGTCCGAGTTTGGAAAAGATGTGGAGAAAAACGTTGTAGCTCTTCTGACAAACTCAAATGGAAAACAACCTAAAGTTATTCTTCAGGCTCTTGAGGCTGCAAAGATCAAATGTGCCAAAAATGAAAAAAATCAAACCGTTTATTTTCAGTTTGATAATCGTCAGTGCGAGGAGAAAACTGAAGAATCAGAATTATTTATAGAATATGCTTGGAAAGTAACACAGAGAGGAATGAAACAGCTCACAGCCTTTTTAGAAAACTCTTCTCCTCAGAAGCAAGTGGTCATGTTGGAGGAGTCAAAAGAGCACGTCCGACTGATGGCGTGCATCCAAAACCTGCAGGAGAGAATTAAGTTCACAGAGTTGAAACTGAGAGATGTTAGAATGATCGAAGAAGCTCTTTATAACAGCAAACAGTGCAAAAGTGATAAGGCCTTAAAGGTAACTATTCCAGAGACCTACAAAGATATGGAGCTACTTACAGATAAGAGCTGTGGTTTTGAAACAGCTGTCGTCTGTTTGCGCTGTCAGGAAAACTGTCACTATCCTGGCTGCACAAAGGCTTTTATTCCTCAACAGTGTGAGGTGATAATAGCTGGAGAATGTACCTCTTGTACCAACAAGTGTTCAGCATCAGAACATGTGAAAAAAAAATGGCGATTTGTTTTAAGGACCCAGAGAGTTCTAAAAAAAAAAGAAGAATTACAACAAGAATTTGAACAGAAACATAGACCAGAAGAGAAGAAGTTGAAACTTTCAGCAAGGCTTGAATCAAAGAAAATAGAGCTGACAGCCGAGAAAAAACAATTGATAAATGAAGCATCTATTTTTTTCATCAAACTTTATAACTTACTTAAGTTTGAAGATTCAGATCATGTATCAACATCCACTTATGTAATTTTGAACTATATCATCAAGAAAATGAAAGAACAAGGGGATGAAGAAAAGCTACAGGTACTCGAGGAAATTTACAGCAGAATGGATCAAGGAACCAGAACATCGCTACAACACAGGTACAGTTACACTTTCAAAATGTCATTTTAAACTTAAAGAAAAAGTTCAACATTTCTATAGCTTAAACCAGGATTCCCATACTTTTCTATGCCATGGCTCTCCAAACAATATTTACTCTCAATCAAAACTCTTGTTTAAATGTGATTGTTGTGGGAGAGCAAAGCTTCATGTGAAAACTTCAAAAAGGGAAAACTCAAATTTCTACAACTAAATTCGCAAACTTGATATAATGGAGGGGTTTCCGTGCTCCAATGATCCTAGAGGCTGTGTCTTCAGGGCTTAAATGCACCTGGTAATGTCTCCTAAGGCATACAGGCTCTGGGTGACAGGTCAGACAAAGAGGGGTTCAAAACATCCTTATGATAACATATCACACAAACAAAAAAATCAAGGCAATCAATATCACACGATAAAGCAAATTATCCTGTCATTCTATTTGGAGACTTAAATGCTCAAATGGGATATATACAGTCAGTGTTGGGCAAGCTACTTGTCCAGTGTAGTGAGCTAAGCTATCAGTTACTCAACAATAAATTAAGCTTCACTACACCAAAGCTACCACCTAAAGAATTATAGCAAGCTAAGTTACACTAATGTGTTAAAAGTAACTTAACTACATCAGAAGCTACTTAACGTCGTACCAAACTAATATCAATTCAAAATGAGTCTGACACACTGGTTAAAACATTTATTAAAGATCAGCCAATGACATAACACAGTGTAAACATTGCTTTATGATCAGCATATTAAAATAAAAACTAAAGTAATTACTAGTAGACAAACTAGTAAACAATCTGCTGTTATTAGAATCAAATTAAAGGTACTGTGTAGAGTTCTACACACCGAGACATGGCTATGAGTTTGCATTCAATGGACATCTCTAGGGAAAACAAAACCCTACAAAAGGCATCTTATTTCTTTAGGGTCTCCCTTAGAGAAAACTTCTTCAGACCTCAATTAAACAGTCGATTCAAGTAACAAATGAAACTGTTTACAAAAGAAGGTGAAAAAATAAAGAAGCTAATTAAGAGATACATATATATATGTCTCACCATATAATTTAATTTCTACCTACATATTTATTCATTGTATTTTTGGAGGCAATTAATTGAATGCTTATTTATTTATTTATTGAGCATTTATTTATTTATGTATTTATTTTATATACGGTAGAGCTGTTCCTCCATAAAAAATCTTATCTGTGCACAGCCTAAAAACAGATTTATGTAAACATCCTGTCAGGTAAACTAGGCCATGAAAATACAATATCGAAGTTTCACTACAGCTCTCTAATTAGAGTATCTTAGTGGCACATATGGGAGAACTATCCTGCCATAATGCAAGAGCACATAACTTCAATTAGAGAAAAGAATTTCATCTTCTTGCTCTCAAAACTTATAATGCTCACACTCAAAACATGCGCTCTCTCTCAAATATTTTCTCTTCTTTCTCAAATCTTTGTTTCTTCTCTCAGATTTAATGCTTCTTGCACAGATATTTTCTCCTCTCGCTTGCCTCCTTCTCTTCGCGCACAAACCGCGCTCTGTTACGCTCGCAAACCCGTAGGCTCTGCTTGCGGATTTGTCTTGCTCTCTCAGACTGCAGTTGGATCGTTGCCTAGCAACCTTTCCAGCCAATAGAACGACAGACTCGGAAAGGGTGCGCTTGTTTAACCCTACGGAGTGTGCCTGTGCTACTACGCCACTTATAAGAGCGTCAGCTGAAACTGCTTTTTACAGTAGTTTTGTGGCTGATTGTTGTTTAGAAATAGAAAACCTGGTTTCATTTCTTAGTTATGCCCTGGATTTTGTAGCGTTTGTGGACGCTACGTCGCTACTTGATCAAAACAATAACGTCGCTACAGGAAAGTTACTTGATAAATAAAGCAGCGACGCTACGGTCAAGCTACTGGAAAATGTAGTTAAACTAATAGCTTCGCTACATGTAGCGGCGCTACTGCCCATCACTGTATACAGTATATATATATATGTAAAATCGTATTTTTTTGGGCTACTGGTTGGCCTGGCCAGCATCTTCAGCATTGGCTAAGACAAAGCATTTAGGTGGTACTTGAGACTGGAAGAACTTCTGTAGTAAATGAATTCCACAGCTTTAGTCTTGTCGAGGTTTCCATTGGGAAGCTCCTTTAAAATAAACTTTCCCTGACACACACGCGGTGGCTACTGGTTGTAAAGTAATTTATTATCAGAACAATGTCCATCGTTTGACTACTTCCCCTTACATATACATAAATTCAACAATAATCAGAACCAACTACCGTAGAAAAAAGTTGCCTCCTCCCATTAGCAACACCTTATCACTGATCAGAATCATGGTTGGGCTTCAATAACCCGATCCCCCATCAGACACTGAATACTTAAAATGAAATACGTCCCCTGGTGGCCATAAGCACAGGAAAGGACAAAAGGCTCCTACTATATATATATATATATATATATATATTGAGAGAGAGACTTACAGTGCCTTGTGAAAGTTTCAGTCCCCTTGAACATTTCAATCTTTTGCCACATTTCAGACTTGAAACATAAATATATAAAATTATATCTTTTTTTGAAGAGTCAGCAACATGTGAAACACAAATGTGGAACGAAAATTATGTGATATTTAGAAATAAAAAACTGAATGGTGAGGTATGCCAAATCCATCGGCCTCTTTACTTTCAGTGCAGCAAACTCTCTCCAGAAGTTCAGTGAAGATCACTGAATGATCTAATGTTGACCTAAATGACTGATGATGATAAAAGAATCCACCTGTATGTAATCAAGTCTTTGTATAAATGCATATGCTCTGAGGTAGTCTCAGATGTCTTTTTAAAGCACAGAACACATCAAAAAGAAAAAGGAACAAATCAGGCAAGTCCTAGATACCCCTGTGCAAAAGTTTACAACTTTAAGAATTTGGATACAAAATGATTTCCCACCTGGGAGACACAGAAAACATGTCAAAAAAGGTGCTCTGGTGAGATGAGACCAAAATCTAATTTTGTGGTGCCCTATTTGTTGGTACTCACCTACCATCATTTTAGTGCTGGATCTGGGCCCCGCCCAATGCTGGTAATGGTATTGGTGCAACACTACTAACTGTTGCTAGTTGCTCTTTACTTTGTCCTTTCCCCCACCAAAAGCGGGGCTTTGCTGCTTGCAGTAATAGCCCCAACAAGTCCCAACCACCTCCACCTAAATGGCATTCTTTCACAATGTTCTATTAAACGTCTTGTAATGATTTTTTTTAGAGAAGCAAATACATTTTCTTCCCAGAATAAGAGAGTCCCTTGTAATGCTCCTCAGGGAAACAGCCCATATCCACTACATCGCAAATTTACCTTGCTTTACAGAAACACTTTTTATGGTTTATCTCCAACAAAAACAAATACTCTGTAATTCTCCCCTGATCCAATCTAGATTTAATCCAAAGGACTGCATTTTTGGGGAAAATTGAACATGGAAATATACTTATTAAATTATAATTACTGTAATAAAGTAACTGATTTTTTTATATAAACAATTGATTCTTTTTTTCCTACAGGATGGGAATAACCTTATTTAATCAGGAAGCTTTGATATCAGAAAGTGTTCAAATCCATCATGGGCCTCCTTCTATCTACCAGCTGATACCAAAGAAAGAGATGATTGGAACTTTGACCAGAGTGACGGCTGGTGAGAAAGATGAGAACAAGATCAATAAAACCATCTTATTAGTTGGCGAAACAGGAGCAGGAAAGTCCACCTTGATTAATGCTCTGTTCAACTATGCTGTGGGAGTGAAGTTTGAGGATGAAGTTTGGTTTCAGATCGTAGAAGAGGAAAGAAGTCAATCACAAAGTCAGACATCAGATTTGATCGTCTATCAGATTTTCGGTTTTGAAGGCCAAAGTCTGCCGTTCTCTCTGACCATCATCGATACTCCTGGATTTGGAAACACCAGAGGATTGGAAAAAGATAACTCTGTCAGCAGAAGATTGTTGGACTTGTTCAGATCAGAAGATGGAGTTCATGAGATCAATGCAGTGGGTCTGGTGATGAAGGCCAGTGATAACCGACTGAATGGCAGACTGAGGTACATCTTCAATTCAGTGATGTCTTTGTTTGGAAAAGACCTGGAGAATAACATTGTAGCTCTGGTCACTCATTCTGATGGGAGACGACCTGAAAATGTGCTAAACGCCTTGGAAGATGCAGAAATTAAATGTTCCACAGATGAGATGAATCAGCCTGTTCACTTCATGTTTAATAATCAACAGATCAAACAGAGAAACAGAACAGATAAAGATCAGGATGGTTCAAAATACTTCTGGGACTTTACTAATGAAGAGATGGGTCGTTTGAGAGACTTTCTGACAAAAACCAAACCTCAGCCTCTAAAAACAACTGTGTAGGTTCTGAATGAACGGATCAGACCACATCCAGAATATGCAGGAGAGAATCAAGCTGACTGAGATGAAGCAGAATGAAATCAAACAGACTGAAGAAGTGTATAATAAACATGAAGAGATGAAGGAGAACCAGAACTTTACTACAGAAGTTGATGAGGTCTACAAAGAAAAAGAAACAATCAATTGTGGAAGGTGGGGTTTGGTGTTTTTAGAAGGAGCCGTTACCTCTTCTGTCTGTGAGGAGAACTGTCACTATCCAGGATGCACAATGGCCTGGAAACCAGGACACTGTGAGGTCATGAAGAAGGGGCACTGCACAGTTTGTACCAAGAAGTGTCCTGCATCAGATCATAATAGAAAACTGGAGATATGTGATAAAGACTAAGAAAGTTTAGAAGACCCTGTAGGATGTGAAGAAGAAAACCTAAAAGAATAAAACTGAATTTGAGACCACATCAAGTCTTTTGGAAAACCTGGAGAAGGAAACCAGCAAACTAAAAACAGAGCAGTCATCACTGCTGGATGAGGCCTACAATCATGTTATCAAACTGGATCAGATCATCCTGAATGTTAACTCAGGTTACAGGTTGAAATACCTGGACTTTCTGATAGAGAAAATGTAGGAAAGGGGAGACAAAGAAAGGGTCCAAGTACTCGAAGAGAGGAAGATCAGGATCGAGAAAGAAACGCAGGGTCAAATCCAAAGGCAGAGAGTTATGGAAATGTTTAAGGAAGTTCTTGGTTTTTAAGAAGTACATTATTATTTCATTTTCTGCATGGCAATTAACACAATGTATAAATCATTAAGATAGCACTCAGAGAAAATATGACAAAATAATAAATTGTAAATATTCATAACTATAATCCATCAATATATTGGAAACCAAAGGGAAAGATGTTAGCTGTTTTCTTTATATTCTTGTTTTTATGTTCTAATTACTTTATAACAGACTAGAACACAGCATTCAACCTGATAAAGGAAAAACATGGGGATATAAAAAATGATTTTTTTTTTTTTAGATTTCTAATGTTTAAATGTATGTTAGTCATCTACTGTTATTAACTATGTTGGAACTGATATTAGATAAGAACTAGTTATTCTGATTGTAAGTACTTTGTCAGTTCTATTAAATTTTAATGAAACATATCTTTCTATTTACTAAATTTTATATTTTCAAGGTCTTTCTACAGTTAGTAGGTTCTGATATGTATGTCACCAGGTGATTAAAATACTATTTCCAGTACAGGGTAAATGTTAACAAGAAGTCAACTCATTATGTGTCTTAACAATTCGATAAATAGATGTTTGGATTAGATCAGATTTGAAGCTAATTAATTTAGACTTTTTACAGTTAATACAATTATATAAGTAGGATAGAATAGGGAAAGCTGCAACTAGTCTTTTTTTATTTTATTTAGTATAACAAACATGCTACATTGATGACATTGATACTGCACATGCTTAGTTGGACCCTCCATATAATCGGCAGGACTTAAGATTGATTGAAGATAATCTTCTACTGGACATATTTTAGGAAAAAAATGTTTTTAGGTTCAATAGAATTTTTTTCTCATAGTGCATTTTTGTCCCCATACTTTCTTGACAGTCTATATTAATTAGTTATATTATTATATCTTGAGAAAATTTCTATACATATTTAATATGGTTATATTTTTATAACTTAGATTTTCTTTTTCTTTCAATACTTCTTTTTGTATAAACTGTGTTTGCTTGTTAACTTGGGATGCTTAATAAAAGAGGGTTTTAAAAAGGTTTCGATATTTTTTTGCTTGATTTCGGGATGTCTGTCTATGTGCACTTTACAGAGAGACCAAAGTTGCATTTAATTTGTTAAGTTGAGTTATAAACAATATACATTCTTAGAATGTTATAATAATGGAGAAAAAAGAAAAACAAAAGATGATTTGTGATCTATGTAGTGCCTCTGGCAGGGAGGAGAATCCGGCAGCTTCTATGGGTCACCTGGATATATCAGTAAAGCTGAGCTAAGGCTAGGCTAACAGAGAATAAGGGTGTGAGAAACTTATTTCCACAAGAAAGCTTGATCATTGATTAGTTTAAGCGCATCATTACAGCACGTATCCGTATGCAGCTGGCGTGCTGCCCTTGCAAACACGGAAAACATGATGACCAGGTGAGGGAGGGGCCTTTATATACAGACAGTCCCACATCCAATTAGATTTGGCACTTGTGTGGAGCCCACAGGGCATACTGCCACATTCCACCCCCCCCAAACTGCATCAACGTCCCAATGATGATCCAACTTCACACCAAGGCCGAATACAGCAGACATGGTACTGGATGAACGTCCTTCTCTTACTGCTGGCCTTGGAAGATGATAGAGATTACGATGCTTGCAGTTGATCGTACTGATCCACTGTATGCACTGACACCCCACCGGGACCACACTCTGCAGCTGATTTGACTAGTAATGAGGTAGGCCCATTTGCTGTTCTCCTGAAAAAGTTTAAAAAACAATCCACTGGACTTTGTTTCCAAGGTTTGAAGACATTTCGCTCCCATCCAGGAAGCTTTCTCAATTCAAAATGTCTGGATTTGCATTAAGTTTTAGGCTTTATGTAGTGGACCAAAAACAAGGCCTTGTATTGCTTGGTTGCTGCACTGAACAGCATACACCGAGGAATGCTCTGATCTTTATATTGGAGAAACCAAACAACCTCTCCACAGACGCATGGTCCAACACAGAAGAGCGGCCTCCTCTGGACAAGACTCTGCAGTTCATCTACACCTTGTGGACAAAGGAAATTTTTTGAGCACAAGAATGTTCACATTCTGGATAAAGAAAATAGGTGGTTTAAGATGGGTGTAAAGGAAGCCATCTATGTTAAGAGAGAAAAACCAACCTTAAAAAGAGGTGGGTGGACTCGGATTCCAGCTACCGAAAACTTACAATTCAGTTATTGAGTTGATTCCTTCCAGGTATCATCACAACCCCCACCCCATCACAGGGGAACAGAGTAACTCTGCTTTAGTCAGATAAACAATCCCCCCTTTAACCACCGACCTTTCAAAATCATAGACAGGCTTCAGGTATTACAGGCTAACAATGGAACCCAATGACCCACTCGTCAGGTTCAATTGGCATGTTTGCAAGCAATACAAGGCCTTGTTTTTGGTCCACTATATAAAGCCTCAAACTCAATGTGAATCCAGACATTTTGAATTGAGAAATCTTCCTGGATGGGAAGCAAAATGTCTTCAAACCTTGGAAACACCATCCATTGGTTTATTTTAAAAACTTTTTCAGGATGACTATGACCTGGATGACTGAGAATCTTCACCAGCATGCTGATTTGCAGTTATGCTGCGTTCACACCGGATGCAGCAGGCGCGACAGAAGCAGCGAGTTTACATGCATAGTCAATGGTTGACGCGCGTCAAGGCGCAGCAAAAGGTCCCGCGGCGCGTTTTGAGCAGAAGGCGCGCGTGGTGCTGCAAACGCGCTGCTGCTCGAGATGGAAAAATTGAACATTTCCTGCTCAACACCCCACATCAACCAATCAGAGAAGCTGATCTGGGAGCTGGCAGGGAGAGAGACACATCACTGATTATACAGAGCGCTGTGATCACTCCTCTGAAACAGTTTATTGACGCATAAATTAACCTAAAATGCAGAAATCTGCCGGCAGAATATGTTCGCTTTT